CAGGTCTGCAAGTATTGGTCAGCATGGGTGAAAAATGGGGTGGCTCTGTCTACATGAAGGTCGTGTAAGACTTCAGGATATGCAGGTTTCGGATAAGGAAGTGGGTTCTTTTCGGCACGACTTAAGGAGGATGTGTGAAGATGTTGTCTTCAAGTCGTGTGATATCACAAAATTTAGGGTTGACAGAGTTTTTTTTGTAGATGGTCAACTATTTAATTGATGTTGCAATAGAGGTGATTCAGACTTTGGAGTCTCTTCTTCTATTGACTTATGATCCTGGGTTGGAACCACTGTTGACGATGGTTGCAGGTGTTGACATTCAACCGATCTCAGTTCGTGTTTAAGTAGTCGGGTTTGAAGGACCCACAATGGGTTACTTCGAGGGTAGAAACAAGAACTAATTTCGAGGATGAAATCTAATTTAAGTGTGGGAGAATTATAACACCTAGTTTCGAAACAAGTCGGTTTTGGGCATCAAGGAGTCTAAGGCATGGATTTTGGGTAAAACCAGGTTACACGACGTAACCATAGAGATGTCAGGTTAAACATGATATGCATATTTTGAGGGTGACGTAACAAGATACTGGTCAGATCGTGAGGATGGTGGCAGCCCAAGCCCATGAATTTTAGGTTTCTCTCCATACTTAAGGATCTTATCTCAACCCTTAGGGTATTCTCTTCATCCTCCACTCCATTCAAACGAAACCCTATCCCCATCTATGAGTTCTTGAACATTTGGTGGTGTATTGGTCACATGAAGGTAAAGGGACCATCTTTGGAGCATAGATTCAGTTTGCAAGCCTCATTATCATCTTCTAGAAACTCCTATAAACCCTTGTCAGTAATCAAGCTTCATGATTTATGGTTTATTGTTACTAGATCTAGAGTTTTATGCTTTACTGCCCATTGTTATATGAGTTAGAGTGTTGGGATTCCATAAAGTTGGAAACTTTATGGGTCCTTAGAGTCCCTTAGTGATTATATCTGGTAGATATGAAGTTTGGTAGAGTTTGAGTTCTTGTTTGAGGCTTTGACCTCCTTTTTCTTCATAAGTGACCTAATTTGAGCCCAAGACTTGCATTGGGCATGCAAGACCTTAAAACATCATTTTTATGGCTTATGGGGTATAAAGAAGCCTTCTACAGGAGATAGGTTCGTGGCTTAATGGATTGAGGGCTTAACTCATTAAGATTCCCTTCAGCCAGTTCTCACGACGTGACGAGATGTCTGTCACGTTGTGACAACTGAAGACTCGCAACTATTTTATCTTTTACTTGGTCACGATGTGACCAAGAGATTGTCACGTCATGAGGAGCAATTGACCTGTTGACCGTTGAATTTTGTTAACCGTTGATTTTTTGACCAGATTGACTTTGAGTAAAACTTGAAGGATTGGGGTTGTTGATTAAGATTCTACTATGTTTTGGTGCTAGTAGGTTCGTGGGAGCAATCTATGTAGAAAGGGAACGTGTCACAGTGTTTCTAGGTTCTTTAATTCAGATGAGTCTTCCTCACTATACCCGTGGGTCGAAGGCACCAATGTCGGCCCATTAGATTTGGTTTTGTATCCTTGTATATAGGATATTGTTATGCTATAGTGATCTGTTATATATATATATATATATATATATATATATATATATAATGTCGGCCCATTAGATTTGGTTTTGTATCCTTGTATATAGGATATTGTTATGCTATAGTGATCTGTTATATATATATATATATATATATATATATATATATATAATGTCGGCCCACTAGATTTGGTTTTGTATCCTTGTATATAGGATATTGTTATGCTATAGTGATCTGTTTATATATATATATATATTATATATATATATATATATATATATATATATCCTTGCGTGTTAGGATGTAGAATTGTTGTATGCTGGTTAGAGTACCAATATGTTGGTTATTGCCTATTGGAATGCCCTATGGGCTGTATGTAGCTACTTAGGATAGTCGAAGGACTCTTGATCTAGGCTTTCTTTCATGTTCCTTGTTTGGTTGTGGCTCTAGAGTTGGATCACCTGTACGGGTGTCTATCTCACCTCTAGTTAAATATGGTTATGCATTCCTTGGAGATTTGTCGGTAGTGAAGCAGTGTGCTATGAGGAATCGAGTAGGTAGTAGAGAGTTTTTTGGCAGAAATATTTATAGTTTCCTATGCTTATATGCCTACTTGATTATTTCTTTGATTATATATGTCTACATATCGTTATGGGTGAGGTTGGCGCGGTCCTAATGTGTGTTGTATACCAAGATACCATGTGCGGGCCGACTGTAAGCCATAGGCATAGAGGCTCAGGAGGAGCGATTGGGTTGAGGCAGCTGGCCAAAAAAACCCAGGAGCAATCCAAACATAAGCTGAGGGCCGGGAGGGCAATCCAGACTTATCTTATGGGCTTGGGAGCAGTCCAGACATATTTTGAGGGCCAGGAGGGCAATCCAGACTTATGTTGTGGGCTCAAGGGTAATCCAATCTGATGATTGTGGACACAGTGTGCATACTTGTATATGTATTGTTGTTTGACGTATTTTGGGGTAACTCACTAAACTTCGTGGTTACCCAGTTGTGTATGTTTTTAGGTACCATCGGTGATTATGGGAATGCGAAGGCGTGAGTGTACACACTCGTTAGCGACATTGAGGATTTCGTGTTTATTATATTACTTTGATTTTTAAAAAATTTAATTCTAAACAAATGGTTTTCTTAATATGGATTTTATAATTGCGAAGTTTTACCTTAATTAAAAATAAAAAAAAAATTGTTTTGAAAATGGGACATTACAGATGAGTTGTTCTATGTGTCATTATTTTCATCATTGAGCTTGGTGACGAACCCTAAACGTGGTGCATCAAAGTTCAGGGAGATGCGACATAGTTTGATTGAATGGTTTGGAAAAATAGTTATATTGGAAGAGGAATACCAGGTGGGATCATGTGTTTATCTGTTAGGATCCAAATGCGTTGTAAAAAGTTATTGATCAAAGTGGAGAAGAAGGAATTCGGGTTTAGCTTTGTTCATACAGGTGAGGAAGAAGAATAAGATGGCGGAATGGGTTTCATTTTTCCTGGTATAGAGGGGGGGGGGGGGGGGGGAGAGACCTTACATATTAAATTTCAATTTTTTTAATAAGAGAAAACTTCATAAACGGTCACTAGGGTAGTGAAATGACGAAAATATCATTCACTTAATGATAGAAAGCTAACGGAGTGAGGCTTAAGGACCAAATATCAAAAGTTTTGAAAACATATGAACCATCTGTGAAATTTTTTAAAATTACAGACTAAACTTCAGATTTAGAAAAAACACATGGACTGTTTATAATTTAAAAAGTTAATTAATAAACTCAAAAATGAAAAATCGAATCTTTAGTAAAGGACAAAATAACCCAAATGCGGAACCTCCTTTAAATCTTTAATCTTCACATCATAAAGAAAACCCAATAAACAAACTCAAAATCTCTTAAAGTCCTTTAGGTAAATACTTCTTTAGGCATTAGATCATTCAGATTTTGTGCATTAGATATTTCTATTACATATTACTTATGTTATTAGTATATGGCAATACTAATTTGTACTAACCAAACGTACAAAAATAATTATATTTGGTATGATATTGATAACTAATTATTTATATCAAGTATAGTTTGTACGAAACACAGCTTAGAAAAAAAATTGATATTATACCATGTTCATCCATAAGTACTATGGATAGATATGTATAAACGAGGGAAAAACAAAAAGTTGATAGTAAATAGACATTAATTTTAGGAATATGAAAAATCATTTAGTTAAGTAATTATAAGATATAAGTTCTCTTGACGGGTTGTTATTGATTCGTTGAAAGTTGAAAGGTGGTGGATATTTCAAATGAATATAATATAAGTATTTGACATATGTTGAAGTATATTCACTTGGATTGTTTCTTTTATAAGATTTATTTTTTCGGTTTTTACATTGTAATAGAGCAACTCATCATGTTGTTCAAATTTTCTAATCATATAGATTCGAGTAAAATATTCATTAATACTATAATTGCATTTTTATAATTCCAGTTACATACCGGATAATAGAACCGAATAAAAAAATTATAAGATTTTGCAAACTAAGAATATACATCTTCAACTAATTGTAACAACTAAATTAATAGTCATATTTTGTTTTGCTCCAAACATACAACCATAAATATTTTTTTGAAATCTAAAGAAAGTATAACGTAAATGTAAATTGAAACCTAACAAATCATCCAAATACCTTTTAGGCTTTCAAAAGCTTGATTATCATATCCACATTTTGTTCTCCTTGTATTCAAAGTCTTTCTTTCATTGTGGATAATCAAAAATGAAATAATCTTCTTATATAGACAAAATATTTTAATTAATAAGGTAGTTAATTAGCATAAGATGAAAATGTGAGAATTTCAAATTAATATGGTTCAGGATATATAGATGATTTATCTTAAACTATATTGATTTGATTGACCTGTATTATAAGATTTATACTGATAAAAATAAAGATACTTAATATTACAAATATAATATCATACATATATTAATAAATCTAAACAATGGGAAACTTCATTATCATAGAAATGTTATTCTAAGTCCCTAAACAAGGGGGTGCCTTAAAATTATTGATCAATCCGGCAAGGTGTTAGTTAGAGGATTTTAGATCACCCAACTACTACTAAATACAAAATAATACTAAAAATCGCCACTTGTAGTAGTTCATAAATTTTGGATAGAAAACTCTATCCATGGGAGCAAGGGCATTAAAGTAAATGCATGCGGATGAAAGTGGTGAAGTGCATGTTGTGGATCTTGTCATCTATTGCTTTATTTCCCTTTCTCTCCCTCTTAATCAATTGATTTCTTTAATGCGTCCTTCCTCTTCCTACATCCCTCCCCTCTCCCCTTCCATCTTTAGCCATTCAACAACCCTCTTCCAGTTTCCCCTTCCATCATCATCATATAAACAAGATCATAATGGAAGACTCCATAATTAATGTCTCCAACCATACTCCAGATGTTCAGGCTTCCAAGAAAAGGCAAGTAAACTGCACAGGAGTATTCATCAGGATCAAGAGACTCGTTTGATTCGTTAATTTCCGTTTTACTTGACTTGTATATATGACTCTGAAAGCACAGGAATTTCATCTTCTTCTGGTTCTTCTTTTTGCAAGGTAGGAAGGCGGCTGAGAAGATTGTGGTGACAGTGAAGCTTGAAGAAAATGAAGGGAAAAAGAGGAGTGAAAACGCTTCTTGTGATTGTTGGTCTTGGAGGAAATATGGCCAAAAACCCATTAAAGGATCTCCTTATCCAAGGTTCATTCAACACTATATCCTCTCTTATTGACTTTGGAAACGTATGTCATTTTCTTGTTTCTGGTGGTTATCAAGATTTCATTTTAGTTCTGAAATCAGAAAGTAACATATATATTTGATACATGAAGAATCCGAACGAACTCCTATTTTGGGAAGACGGGGTAGCATCTGGTTGTCTAGCGTTCCTATTTTTAGTATGGGTCAATCATTATAACCTTTTACAAAACTGTGATAGATTCCTGGTTAATTTCACTTGTTATATCTTTCCTGTTGTAGAATTATTTTCCTCTGATATTTTAGCTCGAATCAGTTCAATCATACACCAATAGATAGTAATAGTAGTATGTCTGGTAGTGAAAAAGCAAGGGTATTGGGTTTCACTGTTTCACCATTAAATACGAGTATTTATTTGAGTGGTTAAAAAGTGTAGGTCCTTTTGTCATCACTCAGTTTCACCGACTCCAATAAGCATCAATTATTGATCGATCACAAAGTTGTTGCATTTTGGTCTCTGACTGTAAATTATAATTAACTTTACAGGGGCTACTACAGATGCAGCACGTCCAAAAGTTGCTCGGCCAAGAAACAAGTGGAGTTATGTAGAACAGATGCATCGATGCTCATCATCACTTACACTTCTACTCATAATCATCCAGACCCTACTCTCCCAAAAAAACCCAAAACCAAAATCCTCCTCCATGATTCAATTTCCGAAACGAATACAGCCCCTGATCAACTAGATCAAGAGAACGAAAATCAGAAACAGGTAACTACTATTGCCGTGGAAGATGAAGATGCTACCACGTGCACTGAAAACGATAACTTCCACTACATCCAAACCCCAGAAGACGAAACCCGCTTGACACTAAACCTGGAAAACACATTCTTTGATGAAGAGCCCCTCTCATATCCCAATCTCATGACCTTTTCGGCACCAAAAACGGAAGAAAACGACTTCTATGACGAACTTGAAGAACTACCCATGTCTTCCTCATCGTTCAAGATTTTCATGAGAAGCAATTTTTTTGAGGAGAGAGTTCTTGTTCAACCTCCTTAATCCCAATTGTGTAATTACATCTAGTTAAGTTGTTCATAATATTAGTTAGCTAGTTAATAACATGCTGAAAGGCATCTTATTTCTCCCTCAATCCGGTAAAACACATGGACTATATAATGTTCACATATATAGTGGATTAGCTAGTGCATGTTAGCTTCCTAGATGTTTGTGTTTTTAATTTAAAAGTTACACGAGGATCACGAGGTCAGAGTGCACACGAGCATATAAGAGGAGCTCCGCTTTTTCTTTCTCGGAGCATAAGTGGGAACACAGTTGTACCATTGGAAGTATGCCCTTTTCTGCACTACAGAAAAAGGTTTTGGCTGTAGTGCCAGAATCTATCTGCTACGAAGTGGGCGACAAACATTTTGGTTTTGTTGATGTCTTGTTACCACTAGCAGTTGAAGATTCCTCTTTTCGCTATATGCCAAATCTAAAACCTCCACAGATTCTTGCATGTTGATTCATAGGTTACTAGAGCCACCAACTATGATTAGTTTGAGGTGAAAGAATTGATGATTGGACTATCAAGTACCTATATATATATATATATATATCTTTACAAATTCTAATCGTTATAACCAAAAAATACTGATTAAGAGATATCCATCATGGTAAACCTTTTTAGTAATTGATATTTGATAAATGATGGCAAAACTCTGTTTGACATACATCTTTGCTAGTTTTGGACCCATTCTTCTGACCTTAATTTAATTATATGAATATTTGGCCCATGTCTTTTTTTAGATTATAAGCTGGATAAATCAATAGAAGATGTCCTTTTTAGTTGATTAATAAAAAGGGTTAATCACAAAATGAAAGACCAACAAGGGCTAAACGATCATTATGACTATATTATCTAGATCTATATTTATATTTATTTTATACTATAATAAAAGTCGTCCATAATAATATAGTCGAAGATAAATTGTCATCTCAAATCATATTTAGTTTTAACCGGATGACTTTCATGTTCCCTATGTTAATGATATTTATTATTTATTTTTTTATATCTCTAATATATATATATATATATATATATATATATATATATATATATATATATATATATATATATATATATATATATATATATATATATATATGTGTCGTAGCTATTTTAATTTGAAACCTAAATTACCTTTCATATTTCTTAAATTAACAGTATTTACTAATGAAATTTCATGTTCTTTTCATTTTTATATATATTTTACTTACGTAAGTATACAACTATCAAGTACCTATATATCTTACAAATTCTCACAGATTCATTTATATGAAAGAGTTTGTGATTCAAATATAAAAAGTTGAAGAACGGATTTTGGTGCGTAAATTGTTAATATTACTTTTATAGATTTTTCAACGTATGTTTATTTCTATATATATCCTTGAAATTGTTATTCCAATTTTTTTTTTGTATGATTTAAGAATATTTTGATGTGTTATTTTGAATAAAAATGTTACAACAAATGTTAGTGTTTTTATGTTATTGAAAGTTTATATATGTTGGTTGTTATTTCTATACTATAAACAGATCATTCGAAATGATTTGATTGAAAATATCTCAAACCATATTTATTTGAAACTGAAATGATCGACGTTTCATATTATTTAAATTGATGACATTTAAATTCAATATTAGTCTAAATAACATAATTTTTTTTTTAACTTTTAACATATTATATTTAACTTAGATTTTTTTTAACTTAGTAGCATGGATATTTTGTTATATGTAAACCATTATCGTTTTATTGTGCATAACTTTTGAATTATTGATATAAAGTATTTCAATTATTAATTTAAATATCACTTTTGAAGGGTTAACCTAATCATAATATCAGTTAAACTTAAAAAAAAAAAAAATCATATTTTGTGTAGGTAGTTAAATGTTATAATATATAGTGTTAATGTAAAACCTAAACTATAACCTTTAATTAACTATAATATTAATTCAGATAACACCTTTTAACATATGATATTTAACTTATTATTTTAGATATGTTGTTGTATATGAACCAATGTTATTGTAAAGTCACAACTTTTGAATAATTGATATAAAATACTTAAATTGTTAGGTTAAAAATAATGTTAAAGAGTTAACCTAAATCGAAATGTAATTAAACTTAAAAGAAAATCTAAAGGTTGTTTTGCAAATATTTAAAAGTTATAAATTATAAAATATGAGCTAGTAGATTAAAACAAGATATTTCAAGTGGCCATTCATGAACAACGTATAAACTCAAGTACATTAATTCGAAATAAAAATATGAGCTACTAGATTAAAAACAAATCCACAATTCAATCCAACGAAATCAATCACCTAATCACCTAGTCGAATGTCAAACTAAAAACCAAAAAGAAGTGTGACATCCTCAATTTCATGGCCAGAAAAGACCGATTTTTTTATGCTTTGTTTTTAAAATCAGAGTAATCGTTTAAAGAAAACGGTTGCAGAATTTGTTCCCAAAACAAGATATGATAAAAACTTATCAAAATATTTCTCAAAGAGAATGTATTTTCATTAAATAATAAAACATCAGGATGTCATGTTCCGATACAGACATATAAGCATAAACATAACATACATTCATTTACTCTGGTGATTTACATCTCCTTTAAATCTCTCAGTGCAAAGCAGCTTCGTATCGATACCTGTGATACAATTAAACTAAGTGGGTCAGGCTTGGGAGCCTGATGAGCATATAGAGTTTTCAACCCACAATAATATAATTATTATATCCAATCATCAAACAATCAATCCAATTACCCATCCCTATTATCTTTTTTTAATCTTCCCTAAAGATATTATCCTAAGGGCCATCTCCTATATCATATTTACCGCTCATCTCCTTACATCTTATATCCTTATATGCTTGTTCCTAAGAACTTTTCCTAATGATCATCGCCTACATTGCATAGACAATACTAATTCGGGGATCACTCCCTCAATATATGTCTAGTAAGGGTTAGGGTATTATCGCATGATTACGCAGCCACAACATCGCCTAGACTCGTAAATCATAATAAGGGTTAGACTATCATCGCATGAATACGTAGCCACAACATCGCATGGACTCGTAATTCATAGTAAGGGTTAGTCTATCATCGCATGAATACGTAGCCACAACATCGCCTGGACTCGTAATTCATAGTAAGGGTTAGAGTATCATCGCATGAATACGTAGCCACAACATCATCTGGATTCGTAATTCATCACCTACAGGTATGAGCCTGCTGGTGTTTCCACGGGGTCATCTAAAATAGTCCGTGGTCGCCATCTATACTATGGTAGATGACTACATCGCCAAATTCCCACATCGTCGGTCATGGTTATGGTATCTCCTCTCATCTCACATCACCTATTTATCATCACCTATCTCACATCACCTTTCTATCATCACCTATTTCTCATCACCTAATTATCATCACACATCATCTAATTCATCTACCCATGTTCTACCCAATATATTTGTAGATATAAAATACATATACATATTAACTCATTTAACACCTATATAAAACATCCATTCCACACTCATCTCTAATAAACAATAATATATAAACACATAGCACGTATTTCATAGCAAGTACTTTATATATATATATATATATATATATATATATATATATATATATATATATATATATATATATATATATATATGTTAGAAGAAAGTGATCACATACTCACACGTATAAACAACAATATATATACACATAGCACATATTTTATAAAATACTTCATATCTATGTGTAAGATGAAAGTGCTATACACTCACTTGATCAGAAGATGATCGGACAGCACTACGACTTGTATAACTAGTATTCTTCGGTGAAACCGGGATCACTTCACACACCGGGTTTCTCGCGGGCAGAGTTTCGGCTCGGAAACTCTTTTCTTCTCGAGATCTTCGGACTTCGGGACTCGCTTCGGGTCTCGGGATTGATACTGGGCTTCGGGGGTAATTCTTTGCACGTAAATCGATGTAATACGGGAGAGAGATGAGAGAATGAGCAACCAAACTCGGCTGGCCCTTCAAATCTATTTATAGGGCAAAACTGGCCCTTGCTACGTCATGGAACCTTTTGCCACGTCGTGGGCTTGGTCGTCACTGCATGTGTCATCGCAAGTTGCATCTGGGGGATTCCCAGAGGTGTTATAAGACTTGCCATGCCGTGGCACTGCTTGCCACGTCGTGGTATCTGACAGTTTTGGGGTTTCGCGTCCCGAACTTCAGAAATTCATAACTTTCGCATACAAAATCCGTTTTTGATGTTCTTTATATCGACGCGAAGGTGAGATTATGCTCTACAACTCTCGTTTAGACTCCATTGGCTAATTTTGACTTTATTTTTAACATATTATAAGTATATTACTTATATATTATCTTTAGTAGGCCGGAACAGGAAAACTCCGTTCGAAATTCATAACTCCTTCATCTGAACTCCGTTTTCGCATGTCTTTTTATCGTTGGACTACTATCGAATACATCTTCAACTCTCATTTAGATCACTAAGGATAGATATCTATCTACCTTAAATTTACTATTTACGTCGCGCTGGGTCGTTTCCCGTTCTGTTGCGAAACTTCGACAGGTCATAACTTCTTCGTTATAACTCGGAGTTTGGCGTTCTTTATATGCACGGAAACCTTGTGACATATACTAAAACTTGGTTAAGATTAATCCTTCTAAATAATCTTCCATTAAAAAGTCATTTTTGATGCTTATCGTCTCTAATTTAACTAGCCGGGGTCTACGGGCGTTACAAGAAGTTAGGTCTTTACCTTTACTAGAAACTCACCCCTACCCCCGCGATGGGTTTTATAGTTTATAACACACATGTACTTGCGGAAAATCAATTAACAATTAAAGGGAACATGTATGTTCTATGTCATAACACTTTGAGGGCAACATACTATAAATAACAAAACTAACATGAACCCTAATATAATCAAAATCATGGATCTAGGGTTCCACACCTTCAATTTGTTGTAGTAAACTAATCATTTCAATCCATTGTACTTGTTGGTCTTAGAAAGCTTAGCACCAAAAGGATGATGTCTCTAATCGCTTGTACTCAAACCTTAGAACTAGAAGACAAGAGAGAATAGAGGTTGAGAGCTTGAAAATCGGACTTCTCGGGGTGTTTTTTGAGTGGCCGAAACTCATAGGGTAATGCCCCTATTTATAGCTACTGAAAAACTCTACAAACCCTAATTTGAACATATAATAATATTTCAAATTAGGTAATTATCTACTATTTTAATTATCTAAAGGAACATTCCAGAAACCCTAAAAAGGCATGCCAAAACCGACCCCCCTTAGAAGGTTATGGAGTCCTTTTCTTGTCCAACTTTTTAAGAATTACATCTCAGCCATTGCACTCTCAATTAATTGCAATTAATTCTAGTTAATTTCAGATTAATTATTAATTAGTTATTATTATTTCAAATTAATATATTAATCATATACTCCCTCTGTCCCAATATTATTGTCCACAGACAAAAAACACATAGATTAAGAAAATCATTAAT